TCCTTTGAGACCTGACTTTCTGCTGCTACATCCTGTGTGCTGGTGGATTTTCAGTATTCCTCTAGGGTTTCACCTGGAAGCAAGGCTCAGGTGCTCTCTGCTCACAAGTCCATATCCTTAAAAAGAGGTAGGATCTGTCCTGTTTTCTCCCTGAAATTCTGCCTGAGGAAGGACAGCAGGTCTCTAGACCTGGGAAAGTGGACATGGAAGAAGTTAACAGGCTTAAGGAGGCTAGAGGGAATACTTATTTCATAGTATCAGTCTGCCACTGTGGTAACTGTTCGAGAGGGGACTCTGCATTGGGGGCATTCCAACATTGTCCCAGACACTTTGTGCTGTGGAGCCATATGATGGCTATTTTTAGTGGCTGCAAGATATTCATTGCTTTGAGTGGCTATCCCATAATTTAGTTAACCATCCCCTTATGACTGAACATTTCTTTTAAAATCCTAGCTGTTATATTTAGCACTGCCAAGTGAATTGGTGAATTTTGAAATGCACGCTTATTTCCCAAGAAGCCTGAGAATGTAATTTTATAAAATTGTTTCAAGCTAATTGAATGATTGCCAGCATGATGGTCCAGTCCCCTGGCTTCGCGCCCGATTGCTCCTATCTTGCCTTTAAAATCTTAAATAATTCTACCCTCTTGGAGCCCAGCCTCTTGCTCGGAGCTGATTACTATCATTTCTCTCACCCAAGGTTATAAGGCTGCACTGAGGGTTACAGCCCAAGTCCTCAGCAGCTGGGAACCATTGTTTTCCATAGACTGGATAAAGGAAACCATTTGGGCACATAGTTACATAGAATTTTGCTTCTTTGGGTCAAACTTGGCCACAATTTTATGGTTTAAAATTTCAGAGCCATTTTTTTTCCCTTCAGCAATGAAAATCTAAGTCATTTCTACTAGTTTGCCATCTACGAAACATCCGTTTAAAATGTCATGATTCAGCAAATCAAAACTACTATATTGTTAAATATATATATCTTAATAGGCAAGTAAGCTTTAAGAACAAGGCAATCTAAGTGTTCTAATTCTTGCCAAATACATTTGCAAAAGAACATTTTACCTGAAGACAGAAGATTTTGATAGGCACATATAAGTTCTTCATCTGGAAGTCTCTCGTCCTTTTAAAAAGCACAAGGATAAAACGGAGTCACTTCCTACAAACAGAATCATAGACAGAGTTTGAACATCCATAAGAAGAGATTTAAATGTTATAGTAGAATATACTCCCGCTGTTTGTTTGTTTGTCTGGTTGGTTGGTTTGCTCATCTGCTAACCAAGAGGTTGGAAGTACAAGTCTAACTCAAAGGCACCTTCGAAAGAAAGGCCCCATGATCACTGAAGACCCCTGGGAGCCCAGTTCTCGGACACACATGCATGGCCATCGGTCAGAGTCAATTTCATGGCAACTGAAGAACATATGTGTAGAAGAAAAGAATGCATATCTATTATAAACCCATAGGCCGTTTCTAAAAGAACAGAGCAGAAGCTAGTAATAGGAGTTATCCTTGGGGAGCAGAGCAGGGAGATGACCATATGAAAGAGAATATTTTTCCCACCTTATAATCATCTACCTCTTACGTTACTCACAAAGCATGTAATTTACTCTTTTAATATTCTGTGCAGTTTGAGCTCTCCATACTAGAGGACCCACAGCAACATTCCCCCAACTTGACCCCAAAGCAATGCCTCATTTTATTTCACTTCCAGCAATACTCCGTGCCTCCCCCATTCAAGAGTCCTCAACCATTTGAGATCAAAAGGCAGCATCTACCCAAGGACAAAGTTCAAAAGGGTTAGCTGGGAGGAAGTGGAATGAGGGATGTTACTTTGTGGGGATTACAGTCAATGACATGAAGCAAACAGTGTATGAATTTTGGAATGGAAATCTGATTTGTTCTGAACACTTTCACCCAATTTTCAATAAAAGTGAAAAACAAGTGGTCTCTGTTGGGCACTGCCAACAGTAGAAAGCTATGTGAACAGAGATGTGCTTCAGGAGAGCGTATCACAAACGGAGGCCGCCCACGTGCCTCTCGCTCTGGTGTAAAGCAGCAGGGCTCTGAGCAGATGTCGTAGCCCTCTGCCAGCGGGGCCCATAGATGTAGCCCATTGGAGTACAAAGGTTTTGCCTGAGAAATCAAGGATGGCTTGACAAGAGTAGGTAGCCTTGAAACTGACCCTGAAGTTGGTAGTTGGAGATAGGCGTCTGAGGTTTAACCGACAGAGGAGCCTAGATTCATATGTAGGAAGGTGCTGAGCAAAGCCAGCAGTCCCCGGTCACTGGAGTGGAGGGGATAGTGCTTCCTAGTGGAAGATGGTTCTGGAAAGACATGTTGTCAAATTTTAAATGCCTAGTTTAATTAGTTTGAAGTGTTTGATGCTGGCGAGGATTAATAGATGGCACACCCTTTCTCTTCTCTCCACGATCTTTGTTTATCAAGTAGGGGCATGGCAGGCAAAGAACTTGAATATTCAGCTTACTTTGAAAATACTTTTAATGTTTGATGTTTTCCCCCCCATTTTAAACTGTGTTTGCCATCTAGTGATTAATCCATGCCATTACAACAACCTACTTAAAACTCCTGGTTTCCTAGCACTGCAGTCAACCTCCCAGGTTCCCCATCCCTGCCATCACTTGTGCCCTGCACTTCCCCTGTCACAGGCCCTCCTGTCTACACACATAGTCACAAAGCTCTCAGGGAAATCCTGCCCTCTCCAGCAGTAACAATAAGAGTCACATGGAAGAAATACGTCAGCGTCCAGAATAGTGACATGAGAGAATTATGTAAGCATTTAAAAGAAAATGAACTTTGGAGAGTGTTATAAAGAGGAGTCCAAGAGTTCAAGGCCAAAGAGGCAAATGCTACCATGTAGATAACCCTGCAATACTAATAATCTACAAGTGGATGCACAGACGGACATGCAAGCTGAGTACCTGTGGAAAGGAGAATGGGGCTGGTCTGCTCAACATGCACAGGTTTGACAGAGCACGTTTTTCTGTATGTGAGGGAGCTTTAAAGAATTCATGGGGAATTCCATTATCTTCTCATCCAATTCTCCATGAACTTTTAAAAGAACCTCATTGTATGTACTTACCTGTGCTGCAACTATATCTGTTAATAGAGTAGAGCACACAGAGTTCCAGGTTCTGGAAACTTCTTAGCCATAGAAGTTTGAGTTGCTGGACCTGGGGACTCTGGAACATAGCTGTGGGGGACACCAAGGTCAACTGGCCTAATATAGTCGCCAAAAGCAATATTCTACATCCTGTTTGAGTGAGTAGTGGGTGGGCTCTTGAAAGCTTGTCATCAGTCATCTAAAGTATCACTATTATTGTCTCCCCATGCTGATCAAAGGAAAGTTAAGAAAATCAAATGTAAGTAATTAGCCCAGTGGACTGACAGACCATGTGAACTTCAGCCTCTGTGGTCCTAACACTAGAAGAGCTAGACGGAGGGTGGGGGGGAGTGGTTTGAATTGTTAAAGTCATTGTTGGTAGTCTGAGAGGTAAACAACTGCGGTGGGTGCACACGAGGGGGCTTCAAAAAGGTTGTGGAAATTTTCCATTCTCTTTTCATTCCATTTTTCCATGAACTTTCTGAAGTCTCCTAGTATAGGCAATAAAATACTTGCTGCTTCAACATTGTTAAGTGTACAGTTCAGTGATGTGAATGATGTCCGTCACATTGCTTGACCATGACCACTATCTGCATGCTTCCACAATCTCTATCAGTCGGACCAGAAACTCACTGCCCCCTCCATGCAATGTCCCTGCTCCCCGCCCCCAGAAACCACAGATAAACTTTGGCCTCTATACGGTTTGCTTATTCCATAGATTTCATATAAATAGAGCCATAAAAACGTCCATGTTGCAGCATGTGTCAGGACTTCATTTCTCTCTAATTATGACTTCTGCATTGGGTAAATATACTGGCTATTGTGTATATTTTTGCTCCTAAGGCCTAGACTCTGATAACTCTTTTACTCAGCAAGTAATAACGGAATGCCTACTGCTAGCCAGGCTACTCTGAGCTCGATACTGCGGCTACCATTTCTGAAAGGTTTACCTGCTTTGATCGCATCTTTTAAAACACTGGCTCTAAACCCCTTCCATGGGACCCCAGCAAGACTTCCTCCCTCTGCGTTTGGTCCTGTTATAGAGAGACAATAAGAACAATTCTGACGTGACTGCCAAATGCAGCTTATTTTTTCCAGGTTCTTAGAAATTGTTAGGTTGGATAGTGGCTTCTGGCCTCCAATCAGATAGGAAGCTCAGAAATGTGGGAGAGACCGCATTGGAGGGAGTCATTTGCCCAGTAAAGCCAGGTGAGCTTCTTGGATGTCGTTTTAAACATCTGCTTGATCTCAGTGGGTGAGTCTCTCTGTGTTTGACTTTTGCAGGGAAAGCCAGAGATACCGAGTGTATGTTGTGATACCGCTTCTGCCAGGGTTCGAAGGAGACATTTCAACCGGCGGAGGAAATGCCCTACAAGCAATCATGCATTTCAACTACAGGTGCCAGACTTCTCCATGGGCTGTTCTGAGCATCCAGTCAGTGTGAACAGGAGCTGGGGACGGGAATGCAAATGCTTCTCTGGCTCCATTCACCAGCGCTTCAAACATGTTCAGTTCCTTGGACTCTCTCAGTTGATCAAATAAAAATGAAGTCTAAAGTCATAAATAGTGGGCCAAGGACAGATGGAGCGTATGAAAGAACTAATATGCTCGACCCGCTCTGGTGTTTGTTGCATGCACACACACACACACACACACACACACACGGGTTTCAAACTGTGGAAAATGAAAAGAAAATGGAATTTTTGGAAGTTGCATGTGTGTATAGACAATAGTCTTGAATACATAATCATTAAATCGCCAAATAGTTACTTACCTTCCACGTTCTTTGCAGTAAGTCGAGAAAAGGGCAAATCAAGGGCTCCCGTGGCATGGCTTGTGGAGGTTGCCGTGCGAGTCTTTAGCATCCTCCCACGCTGGCTATGTCCTGATCGGACACGAAGCATGACGGTTCTCTCCCACCCCGACAATGCTTACTCTGCTTCAACTCTTCGTTAAATGTTCAGGGGAAGTGGGACAGCATATTTTCGATATTCGATATTCTGATAGTCATAGTCACACAATAGGCATCTTTGGGCCTTCATGGGCTCCAGACCTCCCCCGGGCTGGAGGCAGTGGTAGGAGGTTCCAGAGGGAGGGGCAGCCCTGGCAATCTCTCGGAGTCACTAACCGAGAAAGAGCTGGAGGCTTGACCTGGAGCCATAAGCAGAGCAAGCTGAGAGCATTGGGCAAGGCAAGGTTAGTTTCTAGGCCTGGGTACCAATTTTAGTTCCTACTGTAATCTCTAAGAGGTATGGAAGTGCCCTGGTTAGGCTTACACTCTTGATAAATCAGCGAAATCATTATATCTTAAAAGCCATTTTAAAAAAGTATCTTTGGCTTGTTGTCTTGTTTTCTCCCCAGAACACCTGTAGCTTCTCCTCTTTCTAATTAAGTCTTTCAGGGGCTGGAGATGTCCAGTGAGACCCTGCAAAGAGCCCCAGAGAGGATCACATGGGGGGTCTTAGCGGCCCTTCTCCTAGACCCCTCCCCCCACACGTCCCTACAGGCTCCCAGGGCTCCACTCTGTGCTCTCAGGGAATCTGCCTTGTGGTGACATTTTGTAAAAATTAAATAATAGATCTTCTTGGTTCTCACTGACTTCTGAAGCTTGTATCTGCTAGAGTTTCATGTACAATATATATATATATTTTTTTTAATTTCCTCTTGGGTTGTCTTCTCCTTGCTACAGTGTGAGGGCACATTGACTGCCCTTTGCTCTCTGTACATGGCTTGACGTTTTGCCCATTTCTGAACTGATCTGATTTATGAAATGACAAACAAAGCTTTTCAGTGTTAAAGTGCTGTCCTGATGCTTAATTGGCTTATATCTCCTTCTTTTGCCACTCTAATATTGTTCTTGGAATGTTGTCAATTGTAATTATTTTCTATGACTCTTTCCTTGGACTTGAACCAGCTGAATGAAATAGCATGCTTGGCTTTTGTTCAGCAACCCAAACGATAACCTTTTATTATGCAAAAAGCATCTCTGTCTGCTGGCATCATCTTCAATAATCTCAGCGATTCCCAGGCATAGGTGTATTTTTAATTACTCTCCTAGAGCAAGCAGATGGAGCCTAGAATTCTTGGTTTCATTAGTCTTTGTCATTCTTCAACTGTTATCATCTCTTGGAAAATGAAAGTCACTAACAGAGACTGTTACTAAAGACGAAATTACGGATACAGCTCAAGTATAATTGTTTCTCAAATTTCCAAATTATTCTCCACATTTGCCCTTTTTGCCTCTGCAAGCAATGTGATTCTGAAAGTGTTTACCATTAAGTCTTGAGACCTTCTAAATGTATCTCTGTGGTCACTGGATTTTCTGAGAGGGAAAATTCATTCATAATTCATCTTTTCTCAATAGCTTCTTTTCCCAAATACTAATATTAAAGTTATAGTTTTTTCCACCTTCTCACCTCCAAATAACTCCTTTGTCCCATCGATAACATCAAAGTGATACCATCAAAGTGATAATTTTCTAGCTTTTGAAAATATATGTAACCTTGTCTCATGGAAGCCCTTGTCTTTTACCTGAGTTGGCATTATAGTTGGCATTATATTCCATTTATATCTGGGATCAGGAGAGATTGTTTTTGAAACCTTCATAATTGTTTCTTTCCTTTAAACATTTTCAGAACCATGTGCAGAGGAGAACATTCCATCCTTGGACAGCTGAAAGCCGAACGTAAGTAACTGTTTCTCTTTTCCTCCACAGTTACTTTGTAGATATAATTATACATACTATACATTTAATTAAGGTAACAGAAATAACCAATATTTTCAGATTCTGCTTATATAACTTTCTTCACAAGCTATATCCCAGAAAACATTTGACAGAGAAAAATGATTCTTATCAAAGTGCCCAATCCAGTGTTTAAAACTCTGAGATGTGCGAGAGACATTAAAAAACCAAAAACCACTGTGAGTTGGCATCAGTTCCAATCATAGCATGGTGGCATCAATTCCAACTCTAAGCTGTCCTTTATAGGACAGGGTAGAACTGTGGCTTAAGTGCTCCAACACTGTCCATCCATCTTTACAGGTACAGGCAGCCTCACCTTTCCCCACGGAGTGACCGGCGGGTTTGAACAGCTGGCCTTCTAGTGCACAGCCCAGGGTGGAAGCCACAGTGCCCACGGGCCCTTGAGAGGCCTGCCCACTACCCCAGAGTTCATTCTGACTCCCAGCAACCTTTTATACTGTTTCTGCGGCTGTAAAACTTCATGAAGTTCTTTCTCCCTCGGAGCTGCTGGTGGTTTTGAGAGGCATCATTGAAACAGAAAGGGAGGGGTTTTGTTATTTATTTGTATAATTGGTTATTGTTAGGATTTATTTCGCTATAACCATTGCTTTGACAAGAGAGCCTTGTAAGGTCCTGCATGGGCAGGCGCCTCCTCGTTTCTTCCTTCACCTCCTGGAGGGAGGGTGGGCAGGAGGCATCAGCTCCTCCTCAAAGATGGAAAACAGGTGCAACAAGGTCAGCAGGTGGTTGGTGCTGCCTGGTGTACAGAATTCTCAGGGGCTCACCACCCTGCCCTTTAGTTTAGGGGGAAAGCAAATCGTAGATGCATTTTGCCACCAGTACCATGTGAGTAACAGCCCTGGTGGCTTAGTGATTGCTTGTTGGGCTGTGATCTGAAAGGTTTGAGCTGCCTGGCTTTTTCCCCTCTGAGGGAAAAAGCCAGGGCTTTCCCCCCCTCCCCCCATAGAGAGATATGCTCTCAGTAGCCCAGGAGGGGCGTTCTGCTTTGTCCAGTAGGGTTGCTATGAATCAGCATTGACGTGACTGCAGTGTTTGTTTTGTTTTTGTATATTCAAGAGAGAAAATGGTATTAGAGGTAAATAATAATACTTTTTTATACAACACTTTTCACTTCTATGGTCCTTCATACTTTTAAAAGGCACTTTTTCAAATACCTTGTCATTCTTCTATATAATTCTTCACTGCAATACAAGGGAACTTCATAAAGTTCGTGAGAAAATAAATGACATTATCTTTCAATTCTCTTTTCCCATGAGCTTTTGGAAGTCACTTCCTGTGGTATGGCTATGGGTTTGTTTGCTTGTTTATTTATTGATCGCTCCCTGAACTGCTCCTAAGTTTGGCACATAGTAGGTGCTCGGTAACGGTGTGTAGCTACGTGACAGATAGGGATGGATCCACAGGACGTACAGAGGACTAGCACCATGCTTCGGAGTCCGTGTGGTGTAGTAGGTTAAGGTGGGAAGGCTGACTGTAGCTCAGCCGTTTGAAACCACATGGAATGGAAGGAGGCCCCGAGTGTTACAGCAAGATTGACCATGACATTCTAGCTGCACTTCTGGGCAAGTTCACGCTGCTGGCAGTCTGTGACGCAATAAAAATTCTTCCCCAACACCCTGATGTAAAGGCATCCATTCTTCTCCCACCTTCTTTCGTTATTGACCAACTTTCACACACATATAAGGCAACTGAAAATGCCGTGGCTTCGGGCCAGCACACTTTGGTCTGCAAAGTGATCTGTTTGCCGTTTAAGACTTTAAATGGATCCTCTGCGATGGATTTTCTGAAGGCGAGAGGTTGTTTGGTGTTTCTGATTGTGATTGTGAGTCTAAGTAAAGTGAAATCCGTGACAAGTGCAATCTTTTCTCCATTTTGCATGACATTGCTTATTGGCCTAGCTGCAAGGATTTCCGTTTTCACTATGTTGAGGAAAAGTAGGCTTTCACCATCCTTAATCAATATGCTGAGCAACTAATCTGAGAAGCTGAACTGTGTGACGCATCCAGCATCCTGGCTGTCACTGTCCATGAGAGAGGAGCGAAGGAGAACTGCAAGGAGCTATCTTCACGTGGCAAAAATGACAAGGATCCAAGAACCAAAGACTGGCAGTGTTGCTGAGTACTGAGAACTCAGACACTGCTTCTGTAAAATGGTACAACCACCATAGAAAACTGTATGGCGCTTGCTTAAAAATCCAGAGATAGAGATATGTAGTCATCTTACTCCTAGGTGTGTGTGTGTGTGTGTGTGTGTGTGTACCTGTGCAGGTATATATGCAGAATATGAGGGCAGAAACATGAGTAGAAGGATGCATACCTCTTTTGTTGCAGCATTATTCACAATAGCAAAAAGATGGAAACAAATTAAGTGCCCACCAGCAGATAAATGGATAAACAATGTGGTCCATCCATTAATGAAATACTGCACACACTTATCAAGAATAATGAGGAGTTCACAAACCCTCTCAACTATGGATGAATCTGGAGGAAATTCTGATGAGTAAAATAAGTCAGTCACCAAAGTAGAAATATGGTATGGTTCCACTGTTATTAACACAGAGTAAAAACTCCCAGAAAGCAAAGTATTTGCTGGTTAGTGGGGATTATAGGCAGGGAGAGGGGAAATCAAGCTCTAGATAGTGGACATTTACTGCTGTTGGTGACGGGAATGGCGAGACCAAGTCTAGGTAAAGTCAGCACGCCTTGACCCAGGACATAAAGACAGGAAGAAGTACACGAGAAAGGGACCATGTCAGTAAATTCCATACAAAAATGTATGGAAAATATTTTTTAATATATTATTTTTAAAATAATATATTTTTTCCATAACTTTAGAAGCTTATCCCCCATATATGTGTGGTTACATAAATATGTGTAAATGCATAAATGTGTATTGAAAGGCATATTTGAGTAAATCTATGTGCATTTATAGAGGTATCTGTAGTCATATATATGTATGTGTGCATATGTAGTTACTGGATATATATCCATATGTATCATAAGTAGCACAGTTGTGGAGGCTTATTGGAAATACCCAAACAACTCGAGGGAGGGTTTACTGGATTAAAAGCTCCAGGATCCTAGTCTTAGTTTAATCAATTGGCATAACAGTTTACAAAGAGAATGTTTTACATCCTGGTTTGGTGTGTAGCCTCTGGGGTCTTAAAAACCTGAGTGGCCATCTACGATGAAATTACTGGTCTCGATGCATATGGGGCAAATGAATATGAAAGAAAAAAAATGTTCAAAAAAGAAACGAGTCCATCCATAATCCACATGAACTACCGTCGCATCTAACACGAGACCAGAAAAAGAAAATGGTGCCCAGCCAGTGGCCATTGCGTTGCTGATCTTTCCGACCAAGGACAAGGACACAATAGAAGGTCCTGGACAGAAGGGGAGAAAACTACAGAATGAAACTCAAATTTCTCGAAAAGGCCAGACGAGCAGACCTCCTGTGCGGTCAAGGAGAGGGCGGTGACCACGAGGAAGGCCCCCCAGGAGGTGGGTTGGCACCGAGGCTGCACAGTGGGCTCAGCCTGGGAAGGATGGTGAGGGTGGTGCAGGGCCGGGCAGTCTTGCTCTGCTGTGTGCAATCAAGTCACGGTGGGTTGGAACTGACTCAGCGACACCTACAGATCAACAGAGATTGGAGGAACCCCCAGGCCATGGCCCTGAAATTCCCCTTAAACTTGGAATTGCAGGTTGTCTTTCAACCATATAGTAGGTTGGTATATGAAATAAGCAAGGTCACCCAGGTGTAATGCCTTCCCTGAAACAATCAGGGCCGTGAATTACAGCGCTAGCTCTTTGAGTCATCGCCTTTGTCACGCCCACCAAATAACCTTCATCGTCCTGATGGTTAGGCACAGGAAAGTGAGGGAATCTATTGACTGGATCATGTGTACTCATAGTCCATAATGTGTATTCAGCTGTGAGTGATTGCTGACAGGGTTCGTTGTGGTGGCCACCCTGCTGGGAGTGATATGAGTGAGCTATCTCAGACACAGGACGGGGAGTGGGGGGGGGGGGCATCTCTACCTACGAAAGAGCAGAACCGGGGACTGAGCGTGCCTTTTAGACCTTGAGACTCCTGCCCCTTGAGACTCTTGACTCAGAGGGCATCTGCACCACCAGGGGAGCAGCCACCGAACCAGGAGGTAAAAGATGAGAGAGAATATGAACCTTGCGGTCCTCACAGCAAGTAAAGCTGGGTGCTTTGGGGCAGGAGGCTAGCTTGTAGAATGGGGTGCCCCTAGGCACTTAACTGAGAGAGTTGGGTTTGGTGATTCATGGAGCCGGAGCTGAGTGCCTCCAAGCTGAGGCTGTGGTAGAGTGGCCTGCCCTTTGGGCATTCAGGAAAAGCCTCCAAAGAGCTTTGTAGGAGCCCTGGTGGCAGAGTGGTTACCCATCAGGCTGGGATCCTCAGGGTCAGCAGTTTGAAACTGCTAGCAGCTCTGAGAGAGAAAGACTGGGTGTTCTCCTCTCAAAAACAGTTCATTTTGGAAACCCAGAGAGGGCACTATGAGTCAGCACTGACTTGATGGCTGTGAGTTTGGTTCTTTTGCAAAGAGCTCTGTGACACTGTTCAGACGGGAGACCAGGCCAGGAGGCTGGGGGCCAGAGAGAAGCCTGCCTACTGGAACAACAGAGAAGAAACTGTCCTGACGGAACAACTGTACCCTGAGCACTTCTCCCCTGAATTGCCACCTGTTCACTTTCCTAACCAGCCCCATCCTTGTGAGCATCATCTGTGAGTTCTGTGTGGCCATTGCCACGGGTGATGGGGCCCAGCTGAAGAGCAGAGACACGGCATACATGAATGCTCAGAGCAGCATCTTTCGTGATACTAAGCGAAAATAAATCAAATGTGCTTTAGCTGATGAGAGGATAAATAAAATGTAACATACATATATCCAGACA